GGCCCTCTCCCCAACAGGCTTCCTCTTTTTGGCTGCCCTTCGGCTGTGCCAAGCACCGTGTCCTTCTCCAGGCCCTGGTCGTAGTGATAACATGTCCACCAGAGTACACGAGACCAAGTCTGGCCGTCGTCTCTTCTAAACAGGATCTAGGCTTTACTTCTTTCAAGACGGATGTGCTTCTAGCAGCCGTGGTACTTTCAGTCGCTTCCGCTCTTCTGCCATCTTCCTCATTCATTGTCCGACGCACATTTTTGTCGAGTAACTAAAAAGACCTGGGTAAGGTCCACCGTAGTCCTCAAAATGACTTCTTGGCTCTTCAGCACTTTAAACGCGTTAAAGAAGTCTTGTGCGGCTGATTGACCCAATGCAGTATGCTGCTTGGCTTCCTGACCGACTGCTGCTATCCTGAGCATTGACTGTGGGTCCACATGAAATGAAATCCCGGGTAACTGAATTTTTCCTGCATTTTTCCTGATGTTGTCTATTGGTCTAATGGGGAGGAGTTTGGGTTTCTTTGTCATGGAGGCTGCAGTCTCTGATTTCCGTCAGTGAGCACCTGAAGTCTTTTTGGCAAGCAAGGCAGTGTCGTATATTGACAGTTGTTAATAAATAAATGAAGATGCTGCCTTCTTCATATAGTCCACCTTCTTGTATTAGTTACTCCGCACGCAGACTGACTAAGGATGACACACTTCCTGATTCTAACCTGCAGCATCGCTTGCGGTTTCCAGCTCGACTTGAAGGCAGAGCTCAGAGTCTGCCTTGTACGCTGGAAGGACGATGGTCAGGGACAGCGACTTCAGTGCAGTGCTTCACATGCATCTGGTCATTGTTGTAACTCGTCAGTGCTTTGCCTATTAATGGGTTTTGGAGGGGGGGGGGGCATACTAATGTTTTGACCATAAAAATAATACTAAAAAGTGATCACACCTTTGGATATCACTGCAATATCAAATCGCCATGCAAGTTTCCTTTTACATACTTATACTCCCAAAAGATGTACAGTCTCAGAAACTCTGACCTACGGGAGTTGGACTTGACTGGCTGACTGTGAGTTTGGTAGTTGTGATTGTTGACAGCTGAGAGAATGGCCCTGGGGTCAGACTGTGCACGCTACTGATGGACCGCATTGTTTGTGGGAGTTCCAAGAGCCCTCTGAATCAGATGCAGACTGTCTGTGCATGTTTCTGGGCCATCCCCGGTGCTTATCCGGTTCTCTTTCACAGGTTTGATTAGACAGCACTAGTGCACATGTGACAAATGGTCTTTTCCTCCTCTCTTAAAATTGCACTTTGCTTGTTAGAGGGAGAACAGTGAAGCACCTTTAAAGGATAAACCATCTGTATTCCCACTGTCTCTTCAAAGTACTATTATCGTATTCATTTATCTGTATTCACTCTTTTTATCCTACGTTCACTAATTTAAAATAATACACTGTGCACATCGCTGTCTTTTGGTTTTCCGTTTGTAAAAGTACTTTCTACTTTGTGTGAGGCCAGGTTGACTAGAGAAACAAACCCAGCACCACTCATATATGTACAAGAAAGAGCTTCATATCAAGAAGCTTTGCATATCCGGAAACCAGCCCAGTCCAACTCCAGTCCATAAGTCCAATGCTAGTTCATGCGTCCCTCTGCAGACTCAGGCAGCCACATGCAATGATGCAGAATGAAGGAGCTCACATGCCAGTGGGTACAAAGTCCTGTTGGTTCCAATGGCGGTGGACGCATCTCCAGGGCTCTGGCAGGTCCCCGGAAGATCTCCAAGTGGCTCACTGTGTTAGACATGGTTCTCTAGAGAGATAAAACCAAATTGCTGATAATATATTTATTTATAAAGATAATTAGATATGTAACAAGAAATGAACTGTTAAATCATATACAGATAAATATATAATACAAGAAATGAACGGTTAAATTATAAAGCACTACAAGTGGCTCACTGCAACTCAGTTCTGTGAGAGACTAGCAGTCCTTCAAGTCTAGCGGAAATAATGGGTGGTGAGGGTGTTTCCTGGGTGCTCTCAGCAATATTTTGTAAGGTATCTCCCTTAGGCAATGCTACTGATGCAGCCCCACCTGGCATATCAACTTGCATAGTTTGGCTAATCTGCTCGGGTGTGGATTGTGAATTAACACTTTCAGCTGGGAGGGGTGGATCTATTGAACAATTGTTTCTGAGGGTTCAATATCCTCTCCTGGATCATCAGCCCATATGTTCCCATCCCGTGTTTCAGGGTCCCAACTTTTCCCAATCAGTGCTCTCACTTTGGCTTCTCTCACTCTAGATCTGCAATTCAGCTGCTGTTGTAATTCAGCCACTCACATAATGAGACTCTGGACCTGGTTCTCAGCAATGGCAGCTCTTTTACTAGCGGAGAGAAGGCTCTCCTTTGTAGCACAGATGGAAGTTTTCAGATCCATTAGTCTGCACTTAAGGCGCGCTTTTGAGACTCTGAGACTCACCAACAGGAAGGTGAAGCAGAGAGAGAGACCGGCCCGCTTCCAGAGCGCCATTTATCTTGGTGGCACCTCCGAATGAGGTCATCAAGCTGTTACCTGATTGACAGTTTAGACTGCACCACTACACTTCAGGTTGACATGGAATTATGTAACTACCACCATGTTGCTATAACTTGTTCATTTTGGCCCTTCGTGTGCAAGAAGCATTTTAATTTGACTTCAGTTGCGAGTGGTGCTCCAGAGCCGCAGTCACGTTGGGTGGGCGTGTTGACTCACCGCCGTGGAGTCGATGGCGACCCTATGGGACAGGATGGAACTGCCCTGTGGGTTCCCTGGAGAGTAGAAAGCTTAGTCGGTCTTCTACCTAGTGTTTTTGAACTTCTGCCCTCGTGGTTAGCGCCCCAACGACTAACCACTACGCCACCAGGGCTCTAGAGTCAGTCAAAGGAGAAGAGTGTCAGCTGCTGCCCTTTCTGAGTAACTATGCAGTGACTGAGCACACTGCTTTTGAGGCTGTGTTCTTACCGTCAGTCTGCAGTGCCTGGCTCTCCACTCACCGCATCTGTTTGCTTTCTTACTTGTCTGTGATCATCTTCATTTCTGGACAGCTAATAGTCCGCTTCTCAGTGGCTGGCTTTTCTGTTTCTTCTTGGGAGATTCCCCATGTGTCATTGATAAGTTGAGTTGGTTTTGATGATGATGATCCTCCCTGCTTTAGTGAGAGTTCAGCTTGTTTCTTCAGGAAACATTGGGCCAAGTTAGATGTTATCCAGTTGTAGAAAGCCATCTAGCAGAGTCCGTCCTGCATTCCTTCCTGAGCGGTAATCAGATTAGGGCCTTTTCCTTGATGGGCTTGATAGGGGTAGCTGCATCCTTTGAAAGAGAGTGTTCATTTGAATGAACCAGTAACGGTGGGCTTAGGAGATGCCCTATCAGGACCTTTTTTGATTAAAATATGTGTCTTCTGCCCTCAAAACGTTTCCTGTGGTTAAGTCCAAAGGCATCTGGATAGAGGTAGCCGTGCTGTTGTTAGTGAAGAGTTAGGGCGGCGTACAGGCAATAGAGATGCTTCTGTCCGTCGAGATCTCAGTTTACGTGAGAACTGCTCAGGATACAGTTGCTCAGAAGGACACTTCTTTCTTTGATGTGCAGCAGAAAGGCCTTTCTCTGGCTCTCCACTTCTTGGCCTGGACTCTGTTCTGCTTGGGCAATGTTACACAGTTCTTTTAGGGCTGCCGATAAATGCCAAAAGGGCATACTATTCTGCCATGGGCCACAGCTTTAAGACCCTCAGCTCCAGCTCTGTGGGTGAGCAAACTCCAGCTTCCCCAATAAAGTGTCCACAGGCACCCCACTTCACAAGCCAGCACTTACCCCAAAGCTCTCCGCTAAGCTCTGGTTCCTGATTTGGCTGCTGCGTGTTTCCTGGATCAGCGAGGTTCAGTGCACAGAGATCTCTGGATCCAAAGGATGCATCCCACCCCTGACTCTTCCTTCATGCTGATGGTGCAATTCTCCCCTCTCCCTCCTGTTTCTGAGATGACTGGTTTTAAAACCAGCAGGACGGCGATCACTATTACCTCTGGGAACAATTACAGATGGACAGTATAATCCCGTCAGTATCTTTCCCACCTCCTTACCAACCCCATCAGGAAAGCGATCATCGTTTGGTGGGAGTAGCAAAGGCTGTGGCTCCAAAGTCACACTGACTTCCATTGAGCGGCAGCCAATGGCTGGATGGCAGTGAGTTTTCTGGTTTGGGTTTTTTTTTAAAATGAGTGAGTTATTTTATGTAAAAGACTTTGATTTCATCTAGATCTAGAGCTTTTCTGATGTCGCGACACACAGCATTTTGCTTATGTCACTTTGTTTTCAGTGCGAGTGTGAAGTTGGGTTTTAGAGACGTGGACTCTCGACCTCTGTGAGTGTCCAGTTAACGGAGGCTCTTCATATTTGGACAGTGTTCTGTGAAATCACTCCTCTCAGCAGGGCTGTGCTTGAGCTTGACTGGTTTCAGACAGTGAGGTGCTGTTGTAGTTGCTGTCGTCGATTATGAAATGAAAGTTATTCCACCAACTGCTCTCCATGGCTCTTTGATATCTGATGAATAGAATGGAGCCTTTCTTAATTTCCTTATTATCCATGAATCAGTGACTCAGGACTCGTGGGGCACTCAGGCACCAGAACTGCATTGTGCCTGTGCGCCCGGACTTAAAGTGTTCCTGCCTTACCGGTGGTGGCAAGCTGTCGGGACTCTGAGACCCTAAGGCAGAAACCTACTCTCTTACCTAGCGCAGCCTGATATAAGGGGGATTCTACAGCGAAGACAGTCGGCATTTCTGGTAGCTTGATGGTTTGCGGCAGGTCCCCTAGCTCTGAGAGTCAGGAACTGACGAGACTTGCTGGTCGGCCTAACCTCTTCTACTTTGCACTGCCTGTGGAGTCCTTCCGTCCCCACCCGTTTCACGTTGTGACACAAACAGAAAAGGCACCCTATGTCCCCAGGTGTTTATTTTTTTTCTTTGTGTTTATTTGTAGGAATGCTTCTTACTGCCAACGAAACCCCCAAGATGGGCATCTATTATATTCCGGTGAGTAGTCCACATCCGAGTCAAGAGTACGGTCGGGCCAGCAAAGGCACGTTGTTTCTCAGTTGAGTATTTGAGGGGCATGGGGTCTGCATGTGACTGAGCTAAACAGAGGATTCACTTCCAGGAACCAATGAAATAATGCTCAGGATTGATGAATGAGCACGGCTTCAGTGGGGACCGTAATAGCACGGTGAGAGAGGCACGAGAAAGGCGTCTTCTTTCTTCAGATCGGCATTTGTTTTGTTTCTAAGAATGTCAGAATCTTCCGAATTTTATGGATCACAGGTTTGCTGAATTCTAAGATGGAAAGCTCGTGCTATTTTTAGATTCCTCTCTCCATAGTTGTTTACTATTTCTTTGAAAAAATAGTTACATATGAAAAAGTATTTTAGGTTGACTGATAAGTGATCACATATTTTATACGCCCTTTTATTTCTTTCTGTTTAGAATATTCCTCTTGTTTGTGGCCAAAGCTCCCCTTTCCGTTTACATTAGGGAAGAAACGCAGGAACGTGCCGTCTCCGGACTCCTGCTTCTGTAGTTCCTCACCCGAGGCTGGCAGTTCAGACCCCAGGAGAAGCCCGAGGCCTGGTGCTCCGTAAGGGTTACAGCCTGCGGAGCCGCCGTGGTGCTGTCGCTCGGGGAATTGCCTTGACGGCAGTGAGACTAGGTTGGCGAGCAGGAAAAGCACTTACTTCAAAGTTGGCATTAAGTTACTTTATAATTCAGTAAATATCTCCCTTAGCTGAGATTTATTTTTGAGCGGGGCATGAGATTGGAGCCAAAGTAAGCCAATAAACAAAGTAAGCATGGGCTTACGTGTGCTTACTTACTAACCTGTAGGGAACAATTTGACTTTTTTTTACCACATAATGATTCTTCTAGGTATGTCTGGCATCTGTCTCTCTTCAACCATTGTATTAGTCTAGGTACTTTAGAGAAACAAATCCACAGCAACCCATGTATAAGAGAGAGTTTTATGTAAAGAAAATGTGCATCACGAAAACATCACAACCCAATGCTGCCCAAGCCCACAAATCCAACATTAACCCATTTACCCAACACCAGTCCACAAAGTCCTCCACCTCACAAAACAGAGGTATTGATGCCGACTGCAGGAGGAAAGCTGAGTCAATGAACGAATAAGCATCTCAGCACTAGCAGGGGTCTCCACACGGCTGCTCCAGCACCCAGGGCTGCATCGGGATAGGCCATGTAGCTTCTCCTTGAGGATGTCTTGTATGAAGTCAATCTTGCAAGCTGATGCAGGGAACTGCTAAGGCAGCTGCACCCTGGTGCGACCATCACAAAGCAAGAGACCCGAGAACTAGAAAGGCGAGGCTCACCACCCATTTATCCCTCTGCCTTTCAATTAGCCCCACATATGATTATCGGCCAGGCTGGCACAATTAACTAACTCAACCATGTAGCACCTTAGTATAGTTCCAAAGCCTTTGTCCACATTCATAATCCCTGATGGCCAGAGGACCCAGTAAGCACAGGCTCTCTTGTGCTTATTTATTATTCTGTAACAAACAATTTCACATCTGTTTCACCACACCTTTGAAACCCACGTGCAGTTGTTGGGCACAGATTAGTAAGTAAGCACAAATAAGCTTGTTTGTTGGGTAACCGGGTCTAGAGGTTAGGAGTCTGAAGCTCAGAGCTTTAGGGAAGTAGATGCTCTTTCCCCCAGGTGACTCTCTGATCCTCCAGTTAGGACAGTGCTTCAGATTTACGATGGTTCTGGATGAGGTAGTTTGCAATGAATGCTCATAGAAGCATCAGTCAAGAAACAAAATGAAATATTGCACTGGACAGGACTGTTGCAAAAGACCTCTTTAAGGTGTTCACAAGCAAAGATGTCGTGATGAGAACTACGATGCGCCTGCCTCGAGCATGCTAATTTCAGTTGCTTTATACACACGTGAAAGCTGAACAACTAAGAATGGAGATTAAAGACTCGGTGCGTTTGAATCCCGTTTCTGACAAGGAATACTGGAAGTCCCACGGACGGCCAGCAGGACAAGCAGATCTGTCTCGGGATGAGTACGCCCAGAATACTCCCCAGAAGCGGGGTGGCGAGGCTCCGTCTCACGTACTTTGAATATGCTACTAGGAGGTGTCCTGGGAAAGGCCGTCCTGCCTGGGCAGTGAAAAAGAAGACCTGACCCTGAGCTGGATTTCCCAGGGGCCAACACCCTCACGGTCTCTAGGCTAAGGGTGGCGGTGCCCAGAGTGCAGGATTGGACAGCCTTTCTTTCTGCTGCACAGGCTCTGCACGAGCGATCTGTGCCTGCGTGAGACAGAGGGCTTCCAAACGTGCATGAGAAAGTGGAATTGACAAGCAATTGAATTTTCCACTAATTTTTGAAGCCTCTTCCTATTTCGAAAGTAAGGTTTCGGTTGCTATTGACGTAGTGGTTTTAGGATGTTGATATGCTACATTGTGGCAAGCATTCCTGAGCTATTTCGTCTGGTGGTTAAGTGACAGCAAGCTTGTCGGTTTTCCTGAGTTGTCAGATGTCCCTATTTTCCCTGACTCTCACAGAGAATGGCTTCTGTGTTCATGTCAGTTTATCCAGCTTTCTCTGCATTCGTTTGTTTAATGATTAATATTGATTGTATCAGTTTTGTGTGCACCGATACCTAGTCCCTTTGGGTTTCAAAGACGGTGAATCTTTTTTTTTTTTAATTGGGGGCTTGTACAACTCTTAGCACAATCCATACATCCATCCATTGTGTCAGCACGTTTGTACATTTGTTGCCATCATCGTTCTCAAAACATATGCTTTCTACTTGAGCCCTTGGCAGCACGTCCTCATTTTTCCCTCCCTCCCTGTTCCCCCTCCCTCATGAACCCTTTAAGATTTATAAATTATTATTATTTTGTCATATCTTACAATGTCCGAAGTCTCCCTTCACCACTTTTCTGTTGTCCATCCCCCAGGGAGGGGGTTATACATAGATCCTTGTAATCTAATCGGTTCCCCCTTTCTACCCCACCTTCCCTCCACCCTCCTGGTATCGCCACTCTCACCACTGGTCCTGAGAGGTTCATCTGTCCTGGATTCCCTGTTTCCAGTTCCTATCTGTACCAGTGTACATCCCCTGGTCTAGCCAGATCTGTAAGGTAGAATTGGGATCCTGATAGTGGGTGGGTGGGGAAGCATTTAGGAACTAGAGGAAAGTTGGATGTTTCATCATTGCTCCACTGCACCCTAACTGGTTCGTCTCCTCCCTGAGACCTTTCTGTGAGAGGATGTCTAGTTGCCTATAGATGGGTTTTGGGCCCCCACTCTGTACTCCCCCTCATTCACAATGATTTGATTTTTTGTGAGATGGTGAATCTTTATGGGAACAGACAACCCTGTCTTTCTGCCACAGAGCAGCCGGCTGGTTCAAACCTACAAACTTTGCTCAGCACCCCGAGGTGCGGCTCACTACGTCACCATGACTCCTTAACGGTATACCAGGTACTTCTTTTTCCTCAGCGAGTTTATACTGAGGGACTGAAACAAGAAGTTAGGCCATTTCCGTTGGACGTAGTGAGTGCTAGCGTGGAAGCAAGGAGGGTACTTTGCAAGGGCCCTGGGAGGAAGACATTGAGTCCAGTGCAGCTGAGGAGTGACCGGCAGTGTGGAGGGTAGCCCTCCGCTGAGAACCTTCCCAGGGAAAGGCACTTGTAAGACGAGACCTAAAAAATGATTCTACTAGATGCGAATTCCACTAGAGCGGCGTGAGCCTAGAGCGGCGTGAGGGGGCAGGCCGTGGGAGTCGAGGGGAGAGTGCTGGTATGTGGGAGTGTCAGGGAGAAGTGCTGTCATGGTGAGTTTCCGAGAGAAGTCGGGAGGGTTAAGGTGCAAGGCTCCAGGGAGCCAGATGGTGAAAAAATCTTGTGAGCCAGGTGTGGGCATGTAAGGCTTGATGTCGGGAATGATAGACCCAGAGTTGGCTTTTGGGAAAGATTTTTTCTGAGGGGTGAGCAGAATGGATTAGGTCGGATCTAATTATTATTTTTTTAACAAATCTTACTTGATAATAGCTGCTTAGTTTCAACTTTGCAACTGAGATGTGACAGACCGCTCCCAGGTGGCGGTGTATGTGAGCCCAGTGAGAACATGAGTTTTTCTTGCTAAGCTAAGCATTATGCTGAGACTTGTACTTGACTGTTCCTTCCTGACCTCCCTCCTTGCCCTGCTGAGTGCTGTTTTATAGCAGCACCACTTGTCCTTACTTGGAACCTGCCTCTGTGCTGCTCCTTCAAAGCAGAAGGAGAGCCCCGGGGCAGAACGGCTGCCATTGCCACGAGATGCTGTCGCACTCAGAGACTGACGTTGGCATGCGTGCTCTTTGGAGGCACATCTAGCCATGGAAGTGAGTGTTTAATACATAGTTCGTGCCAAAACCAAGCGGTCTGGAGGGACGGTGATTTTTAATAACATACCGTAAATCGGTGCAAAAACTTTCCTCCCCTCCCTGGGGCGATGAGTAGAATGAAGACACCTTAATGTTCTCTTAGCACATTTCATCACATGGTCCGTTCTGTCCGACACCTTCTTTCTGAAATACTTGCGATCTTTATAAACTCAATGCATTTCCTGATTTACATTATTTCTTTGCTGTTGTACAAGGGAAGCTTCAGATGTTCATGGAAAAAGCCCTTTTTTCCCTCCTGGACATTTCACTGCATTAGCTTTTTAAATTATTGACAACAAAATGACACCAAGTGTGCATGTGCGTGCCAACATCAGTGCCAGCCACAGCGCTGGAGTACTGCCCTTAACATTATTATCATTTATATGATTGTCATCGTTTAATTAACTTTAATTGTGAATTAGGTGAAGGTTTACAGAGCAGACTGTATATTGCCTTCCCGCCAACCTCTCCCCACCCCCCTAAAAAGAATCCCATTCTCTTTGAATTCCATTTTTCCATAACTGTTTTAAGCCCCCTCCTAGATCCGTGTATAAATTCTTAAATAACCAGGTGGCTCTTGG